GCAAGGATGCTTCTGGTGTACATTCCCTCTCCACACCGCACCTGGGGCCGGGCTTGAGCGATGCGCCTATCCTTTATTTATGTTTTGAATGATAACTTGAGCTACAAATTGGGATCTTTGTTGTGAAGATGTGTATCTTATCGATAAGCTCTTGTTTTGGATGCATAAAGTATGATGCACCAAACACATTGATGAGGTTATGTGACACGAGGGTGAGCGAAGCCCTCTTTACATGCCTGTAAGACTTACTCAAAAATCCTAAAACACTGAGTATAGTTTTGGCATTTTCTGGTACTCAGATCTCAAAACCTAATGAAGACTCATTTTGGGAAGAATAGCAGAATAATTACACAGCCTTAGGGCATTGATTTTTGCTTGCTGAATTTTGTGTTCAGTTGATCTTTTGACGTAAACCCCCCTGTCTTTAGCTGTAAAATATACAACCGAGTATGGCTCAGGCTGGGTTGACTTATACATGCAGTTTTGGCTTTGCTTATCGACAGTGAGGTTGTGTTGGACAACTTTGAGAAACCAAACATTATTGAAATACTGTACCAGCTTTTCCTTAATATCTTAGACTGGGATAATTTTACTGGGCTATAGACCTCAAAGAAAAATGGCTCCGATTATGTCAGAATCATAAAAATCTCAGGATTGAAAGAGTCTTTAAAAAGTAATTTTATCCAGTCTTTCAATTAGCTTATAGAACGTCCAGAGATTTTTTTGGAAGGGCAAATGGTCAAACCTTATTGTTTTTCTTTGGTCCCAGCATTGTGGTTATACATTGACATGATACGTAAAAGTGATTTAAGAAAATATCGATATTCTCTGGAAGCAGAAAATGTAATATTTTAGGAAGAATGCCCACATGGTCAGAGGGAAAGGATCCAACTGTTAGGGAAGGGGCTGTGATGTCAAGAGCCCATTCTGCTGTCTTTAGAATATGACAGACGCCGGGTCGAAAAAAATGGATCAAACCTAAAATAAGTTCGAGGTGGGGGTATTTGTTTCACAGGCAGGATTGGAAGGGCTAGGTCAAGGGCAAGGTTTGTGGGGAGTGGAATGGTCAGTGAATAGTCACATGGCTTTTCTCAGTTCTACACTTCTGTGGTTATGTGGTCCTTGCGGTGGGGCCCCAGTGCCTCCCTTCCCTACGTCCCATGTTTTATCACACTGTCTCCCAGATGAGCCCTTACTGGCTTGAGTTGTAATGCTTCATAGCTGGAAGCTGGTTAAGTTAGTGAAATAGGACAGGAGCAAGCAGAATATATTTAGAAATAAAAGGAACTGGAAATCTATTATGGAATTTTGGGTGACTTGTGGCCAGTCCGTGTGTTAAGTAGGGGCAGTGGTAAGATAATCATTTGTCACATCTGGATTGAGAAGTTGATTCTCACTTGGATACACTATTTGGATTGACTCTACCTGGTGTTTCGGTGGCTTTGCATGTATATTGCCTTCAGATGGCATATAATTCCTCAAGTTTTCAACTAACCTCACTTCTGGGAAGCTTCTCCGATCTCCCAAGTCTGGAGGCGGTCGCCCTTCCGCGTGTTCCTGAAACCTTCTCCATCTGTCTGTCATGCACATACCTTGCTCTGTCGTAATTACGTGTTTATTTGTTTGAATCCCCACTAGACCTCCAGCTTGGTGAAGTGGGAATGGTGGCCATCTAGTTGGCAGAAACTCAATAAATGTTTGTCGAATGGATAGATCAAGCTTCATTCCTTTTTGGGAGACTAGTATTGTCTTGATAACTACGAATGTATCGTTGCTCCTAATTTAAAACCAAATCAACATGAAGCCGTTAGCTTATAAAGAATTGTCGAGGAGCATGGGAGTGAGAAAAATCAATTAGGGTATGATTACAGCTGTCTTACATCTTTTCTGGAGCAAAGCAGGGCATCAACAAAGGTAGTGATTATATATTTTTATAAAAAAAAAATCACGGCAGTGAAGTAACTAGAGAGTCTCCAACAGTTGGAGAGGGAAGGGCGACGCAGGAGTCGAGGAGTGCTGGAGGGCACTGCGGTTGCGTGCGGTTGGGAAGCTCAGGAGCGGGGTTTTAGAACTGTCAGGAGATAAGCCCTGGAGGAGCCTTCGTCTGCGGTTGGTCATCCTGGTTTTCATCTCAGGAAAATTGGCCCTTGGGTCGCATTATTCTTGCCCACGAGAATGTTTCGTTTAGGCTTTAGAGAGTAAATCTCAAAAATTAGTAGCCATCTGTAAATGAACCAACTGGTATTATTCATTTTGACCTTGGGGAGATGATTCTAAAATAATCCAATAATATAGTCGCCTACACTGGTCAAGAAAGTAGAGTAAATTTCATTCGCCTGAGCTAGTTGGGTCTGTTCACTTCTTTCACAACCTGTTGGGGATCGGTGTAAGGAATGTTCAGCATGTTATCAAGAATATCCGTTTCAGTTCATCCATCCAGGGGACGCCCAGCAGAGTTCAGAATACATGTCCCCCCTCAGCAAACACAGAGCAGCATAAATGGAAGGGGCACGGTTGCCCCTTATACTTGATGTATGCATTCTCTTAACTCAGTATTATAAACATATTTCATTCTTATTTCCATGAAATTATGAAGAAAGAGTTTCTTAGA